CTGCCCAAATCAATAAATTTGGGCTGGAGCAAAAAATATTTTATGAACTGAAATATAACGGTCAAAAACGTGATCTACTCGAAAAACCGAGTCAGAATATGTGCCGCATGTATTCGCATCACATTGCATTTCGATAAAACAAAATACTCAAAATCGCTAAAAATCGCTTAAAATCGTAAATTTGTGCATATCATTTTCGAAATGCGATGTGTTGCGAATGCATGCGGCACATGTTCTGACTCGGTTTTTCGAGTAGATCACGTTTTTGACCGTTATATTTCAGTTCATTAAATATTTTTTGCTCCAGCCCAAATTTATTGATTTGGGCAGAATTCCCCATAAGGATCCAATGTTAAAGTTTAAAACCAATTCGGCAGGGTCAAATATTGTTCCATTTTGATGAATTTTTTTTTGAGTGCCCTACCAACCAAATTACACCCTTTGGTCAACAAGCATTTCAATATTTTAAGATGACCCCGATTTGTGTCCACCCTAACCAGGGGCGAACCAAACAAGCTCTACAACAAACGACCTCGCCTCAATTTTGACGTAAAACGCTGTCGTTCATTTCTGCGGTGCGTCCCCCCCCCCCCCCCCCCCCCCGTGTGAACGTGAACTCTTTAGCATACACCGAGTACTACTGTACACGTATAGAGTCGTGTCGGAGGGTCGCGGTACACATGCGGAACGAGGCGCACGGGATGCCGCCCGCGGGCAGAGAGCACATAAACTGCCGAGAGTGTGGAGCGGGCGGGAGAGATATGCACAGACACACAGCGACGCGCAGCGCACCACGGACCATACCAGGCGAGCCGGGATGTATACCGTATCGACCAGAGACCAGAGTGCTTCACGCCCGCCTGTGTGATGTGATGGACGCTTATAGCCCTGGTGCCCTCCCTGCCGGCCCAGGCGGGGCGGGGCGGGGCGAGGCGGGGCGGGGAAAGACCCGTGGAGGCCTAGGACCGCGCAACGCCACCCTGTTCTCCGCTCTGCACTCGTGACGAGGTTGTCGGGGTTGTCTGTGGGCGGGCGATGGCGCCTCCTGCTGGCCCGCCCACTTCATCTCTCTGCTACTTTCCACCCACTCTGCGGCTCTAATTGAGCGATCGTCGACGAAGGAATATAATTTTGTCGGCGCTCAGCGCTTAAAA